ATCATGTCCGGCACGTGAGGGGGTTTCTCAATAATTCGATATATTACGCCGTGTGAATCGGGCTCTAGAATGTTGGGAGGGACCTCTTCAACGATTACAGTGGCCTCTTGAACGGTGGGAGGGGACTCTTGAGGGATGATAGGGGCCTCTTGAACGATGACAGGTGAGTCGGGCTTTTTCTTATGGATTCTTTGCACTATTGGGGTGAATGGAGACTTAATGGCACGTGCACGCCGTCTGATGTGTGAACTTAGTCTTGCAAGAAAAATCCGACGTAGAGCATCCACCTTAGCAGGCCGCTAAAAATAAATTAATACATAAATCAGTAAATAAACAGACATAATATTAAACAGTGAAAACAAAGACAAATATATTTCAAACTTGCACGGTATTCACCCAAGTCATTATTCTATCATTGTTCACAAAATGCATCAGATAACATTCCAGAAGTAATCACTTATATAAACATTTAAAATGACAACATATAGGTTTAGTGCAGGTTCAATGACAACATAAAGAGAAGTAGTTTATTCTTGAAACTTAAATTTTCAACACTGTGAAGTTAGTATTTGTCTTTGTCTTTTGGTTGAAGTAATGCAATTCATTCAAGTTTCAATTTTCAGAAGAAGAATAGAATCTAAAACTTAAAATCACAACACGAATGACTATTGCAACGCGAAAATGACTATCGCAACGTGAATTTGACTATCGCAACGAGAGAATCGCAAGAATAGAATCTGAAACTTAAAATCACAACACGAATGACTATCGCAACGCGAAAATGACTATCGCAACACAAATTTGACTATCGGAACGAGAGAATCGCAATGCGATTTCCATTTCACATTGCGATTCTTTCGTTGCGATAGTCAAATTCGCATTGCGATAGTCATTTTCGCGTTGCGATAGTCATTTTCGCGTTGCGAAAGTAAACTATTCTTCTTCTGCAAATTGAAACTTGAATGGATTACATTACTTCAACCAAAAGACAACAAAAAACAAATACTAACTTCACAGGGTTAAAGAATAAACAGTTTAGCAGTATTGGCAGCAACCGAATGAATTTACTAAGCAATTCATTCAAGTTTCAATTTGCAGAAGAAGAATAGTTTACTTTTGCAACGCGAAAATGACTATCGCAACGCGAAAATGACTATCACAACGCGAAAATGACTATCACAACGCGAATTTGACTATCGCAACGAGAGAATCGCAATGCGATTTTTATTTCGCATTGCGATTCTTTCGTTGCGATAGTCAAATTCGCGTTGCGATAGTCATTTTCGCGTTGCGATGGTCATTTTTGCGTTGCAAAAGTAAACTATTCTTCTTCTGCAAATTGAAACTTGAATGGATTGCATTACTTCAACCAAAAGACAACCAAAAACAAATATTAACTTCACAGGATTAAAGAATAAACAGTTTAGCAGTATTGACAGCAACTGAATGAATTTACTAAGCAATCTAAGTGAAATGGTTAATCTAAGTAAAATGGTTAATCTAAGTGAAATTACGAGTAAATTTATCATCAAGTTAAATATGAAAAATATTAAACCTACCTCGTTGCGTAGAGTATGAACCTCATTCTGCAACGATGCTACCATCTCAAGTAGAGCGGCTACCTCACCACGTAGAGTAAACACCTCAACACGCCATGCACCATTGTCATCGCGTAAAGTATCGACCTCCTCACGCAAGGCATTGACCTCATCATGTAACTCCCCTAACTCATCCCGTGGAGGTAGAGAATAGGGAGATAAACGTTGTGACATCTTTGCCGGTCGCCTATCATGAGGTGATGGTAGAGAAGAGGCTCGATGATGTGACAGAATATGTGATGGCTCTCGTTGTGGAGGTGTATAGTCGGGTCGATCAGGTGATGGCTTTGGGTGAGGTGATGGCTCTCGAAGTGGAGGCTGCTCATCATCTGTGCCATAAAAAAACGCTTACTAGCTTGCCACCAATCAGTGGCAAGCTCAGCTTCTGTGGGTGTCAGCCTCTGTAATGGAGTGTTGGCCTCCTAACAATATAAAAGCTCAAACAAAGTTAAACGTATACTAGTAATAACTTGTTTATAAACATATGGTAGTATTTGTGTTAACTTACATTATTTATTGTCGTATACAGTAGTAAATCTTCCCATTGCTGCAAGGTCCATTTCCTCTTCCAGGAAATAGCCCTAGGAATATCATTAGAAGTTTTTAATGCATATGTCTGCATGGCGGGAAAGGCATCAAATATCCAAATCTACAAACAATATAATAACAAACATTAGTAATTGTTAAATAATTAATTATAATTTTGGAAACATTATATAAAAATTCTTACCTTAAAGGCCCAAATAAAGCCTAACAAAGTGTATTTGGAACCATCGCCACACAAACGTTTTCGATCATCAAAGGCAGACGACAACTTATTCCATGTAGCTTTCCACAGATACGAACCCCACGGAAATAGGTTCCATGCATTTAGGTCCTCTACCAATTTAATTAGATCATTAGGAATAGGTTATCTGGCCTCTCTGCCTAAAAAGTCGGCATGCAAAAGTATTAGAAGGCATACTCGGACAACATCGACGTCATCCATCCGAGTAAAACCATCTTTCTTATTCAATAATCTCGTCAAGTCTTCCACGTGTAAATTCGGCTTCTCCATTGACAGCTCAGGAAAAACCCGGGATAACCATGATAGGCGGGTAATATGTCTAGTGTACCGACCTACATCATCGTGTTCGAAGCGTAGACCGGTGATTAAGCAAAACTCCTCCCGCCCAAAACACGTATACGCCAGTGGAAAATCAAATCATATCTCTTCATCACGACGTTGTATAGTCTCTGGTATATCGCTAGTCATGGTTTGAAGAAACATATGGGTCAACATAGCATCTCCACCGGATGTTGTACTTTCAGCCATGGCCCGAAGCAAGTATCCTCAAATATTTTTCTTTGTGCAGGTGAAAGCTTCGGCGTAATTGTTTTGGCCAGGCTTACTTTATTTCTTAAGGTCAATTGAGTCGAATAAAAGTTTTACAAAAACAATAAACATACCAAGTTAGATATACCAAAATCTACACTGTGAAGATATACCAAGAACAATAAACATAAAGAGTAGTAGTTTATTCTTCAAACTTAAATTTGCAACACTGTGAATTTAGTATTTGTCTTTGTTTTTTTGTTGAAGTAATGCAATTCATTCAAGTTTCAATTTGCAGAAGAAGAATAGTTTCTGAAACTTAAAATCGTAACACGAAAATGAAAATCGCAACACGAAAATGACTATCGCAACGCGAATTTGACTATCGCAACGCGAAACTAAAATCGCATTGCGATTCTGTCGTTGCGATTTTCATTTCGCGTTGCGATTCTCGGTTTCAAATACTAAAATTGAAACTTGAATGGATTGTATTACTTTAACCAAAAGACAAAACAAAGACAAATACTAAATTCACAGGGTTTAAAGACTAAACAGTTTAGCAGTATTGGCAACAATCGAATGAATTTAATAAGCAATCTAAATGAAATGGTTAATCTATTATTGAAATTACCAGTAAACTTATCATCAATTTCAATATAAAAAACCTAATAATGATGCAAAAATTTCAAAATAAAAATAATTAAAAAAACTAACCTCGGTGGTTGATTTGGTTGATTTTCCATTTCTGACCGTGAATTATTGTGAGGGTGGCTCTGAGAGATGGAGATAGACGGATTTCGCTGGAGATGGGGACTGATTTCGTCAGAGATGGGGACAGATGTCGCCTTAGAGAGTGAGAGATGGAGATGAGACTGAGTTGTGATTTAGAGTTTTAGGTTATGAGTTGCGATTACGGGATATACTGTGGACGGTTCAGTGTTCCGATATATTAATATTCGTGTTTGGAATTTGAAAAAAAATACGCGTTGCGATAATAATGACGCTTTGAAAATCGCATTACGATAGTCAGCATCGCGTTGCGATAGTCAGAATCGCGTTGCGATAGTCAGAATCCCGTTGCGATAGTCATAATCGCATTGCGATTTACATATTCGCATTGCGATAGTCGGAAAATCGCAACTCGAATTTGGAAAATCGCAATGCGATAGTCAGAATCGCGTTACGAATCTGGAAACTGATTTGCGATACCGGAGATCACATTGCGAATTATCGATCGCATTGCGATTTAGTTGGTCATTTTGACAAATCCAAAATAAATTGATTAAAATTGTATATTATAAAACATTTTTGATCAATAAGATTATTTTCTCTAAAAACAAAAGGCCACGCGCAATTTGTCCTTTTACTTTATTGCCGTCTTAAACTTTGGTCAAAATACTGAAAGGGTAGCCAATTCCCTACCTCCACGTGTTCTTATGCCTTTTCCTATCAACCATTATAAATCTTCAACGTAGTAATTTTAGCCAGCATAATTGTTGGACTTATTGGGAGTACAAAGAGACTGAAACAGAAGACCATAACTTGGAGTTTTCTTGCATAAACTGAATATTTACTGACAGATTCCACTCTTCTTTCTTTTCTGGTTTACTTTTATCGTCAATGCTATTTTCATAAATTTAAAAGAAAAAAAGGAATCGAAATATATAAACAAAGCTGATAAAAATACTGTAAAAATGGGGTCTAATCTGAGGATATAACGAAGCTTGGTGTCTGTAAAGTCTGGTTCATAGTCATAATACAGAACCCTCAAGAAAAAAATAGAGCTCGAAACGATTCTTTTCTTCCATTATTTTAAAGGTAATTTTTTTCTTATAATTAAAGATAAAGAAGTCGAAGTGGAGAGAGGTGTAATTTTGGAATCTTGGTATGTTCTTTCATTTTCCAGGTAACCCAAACTGGGTGTTCTGTTTTTTTACTCTTCTGTTCAATTTTCTTGCATTTTCTTTGCAACCAAAAGAAAGGGTGGTTTTTTTATTGTTTGGATTTTGCTGTAGGAAGTGAAAATATTGCATTTTAGAGGTGAATTTAGAGTGATTATTAATTTTATTTTCTGTTCAAAGTAAAGATTTTTTCTCGTTTGAATTTAGTGGAAGAAATTTGAAGATTCAAATGCCGGAGGAGGACTTGGTAGAACTTAAATTCCGATTGTATGATGGATCGGATATCGGTCCATTCCAATATTCACCTGCCTCAACCGTTGCTATGCTCAAGGAAAGAATCGTTGCTGAGTGGCCCAAAGGTCAGTGCTTCAATCTTCTCTATAAAAGTTTAAGGCTTTTTCCACCATTGAACTTACTTCTAATGCCAAATTGCATTGTACTTTTCGAACTAAATATAAATTTAAGCTTGTTCAAAGGAGGCATAGTTCTAATAATTTAAGGGTTCTTTGCTTTCATGTTGTCTCTAGGGATATGCATAATTGTATCGTTCTTTTTATAGTTATGGCTTGATTGAATAATTTTTCCATGGCTTGTGTTTAGATTCCTTGTTTCAAGTTATTTTGAATGTGGAATTTAAGTTGGATTGTTTAGAAGGGCTTAAGCTGCATTTATTAGCCGGTTGTTTCACCTTAACAATGTCCATTTTTTGGGAAATAATAGGTGAACCTCTTTGTAAAACTTAATCCAACAATTTTTTTTTCGTACATTGATTGATGGCATTGCTAGCCGTTGGGACGCATTAGTTCCGATGATAAATGGTTATTGGTTTTTACAAATCTGCAAGTTCTCTAACATTTTGACAAAGGTAGCGACGGGTTTGGTGTTCTCGTTGGAGACTTCTTAAGTGGATTCTTACTATCTGACATGATTAATTTTAGTTTGGGGGAAGCTGATAATCGATGAAGATATTCAGGGTTTTTCTCTGTCATCATATTCTCTGTTGGTTTTTGGTCCCTACTCTAGTACTCTTCCATCCTTTTGTTGCATAACGCATACCAATTACCATTAATGACCGACCGGTCGTCCGGTTTATGTTCATTTTATCTTTGATTTCAATGTAAGGCATAAAGCTGATCTGCTCTCATTACTGATTTTGTATGTTTTTATTTGTTTCTTATCCCATCTTGTTCTGCTTTGTTGTGCTGAGTGATGTTTATACTATCAAGGTGTGCAATGGCTATCTTGGCAATACTGTTTGAGTTTACTTTTACGCACCCGAATTTAGAAGCGAAAATTATATTTCTGAACCTTCAGAATGGTAGGATGCTTGTAGGAAAGATCTTTGTCTTCGTGCTTTATAAGGCTGGATCTAAATTGTTTTGGTACGTGTTAGACAAAAAGATTGCACCTAAGGGAGCCAATGACATCAAGCTGATAAATGCCGGGAAAATTTGGGAGAACAACAAGACTGTTGGTCAGTGTAGAGCACCTTTCGATGATCTCCCTAAAGTGGTCATCACAATGCATGTTGTCGTGCAGCCCTCTATCACAAAAGCTAAAACAGGTACTTCGATCTTGTCATAACTTTTCCCACTGCAGGCAGTTCTCTTTTACGCTTTCTCTCTTATACATGCTGGATGTTAGAATGTGGTTAATTTTTGTATATAGCAGAAAAGAAGGCGGACGAGCCGCCACGGAAAAACTTCTGTTCGTGTTCCATATTGTAAAAAAGAAATCGTTCTTGATTCAAGAATCACGCTGCTGAAATGGCCTCAAGGGTTCCTGAGATGTGTCTGGGTCGCTGGAAGCTCAAAGTAATAAGTACAACAGTGACATCCTTCGTTCTTTCGTGGTACGTTTGAGGGCATTTTCGAATTCAATGGTGATGTATTCGAGTCTTTATAGAAACAAGTGTTTCTTGCATTCGATAGCTGCCTTCTGTTTTTATTTGTTCACTTGATTGTTTTCATCTATAATGGAAAGCTTATGGATTCGTCTGCATATACACATTGGGTTGCAAGTCATAGCTTTAGCATGAACCAAAATGATACCATGTGAACTGTCTCTCAAAAACCTTTGATTGTTCCATGTTTTGTTGTTTTGCTCTTTGGATATTTGCCTAACCAGGCGCTGAGGTTCAAATAGACTGCAACTTCAGGGCATTTGCTCCGAAAACGAGACAACAGATATCGTTCTCTATCAATGGAACCACAGATAAACACAGGGTATACATAAGCTCTGGGAAATGCAAGCTGGGATCGATGTGCCTCCAGCTCTTGATACAAAACAATCCACATTAAAATAAAATCGAAAAACAACCCTGCAACATTACTAGGCCATGCAGGACTTTTCTTTCGCTGATAAGATGCATGCCTTACGAACCAACGTAACGATATTCGACGAAAGAAGGCGACAACAGCATTATGCAAATATTAGATGTTTATCTATACGTCCATCTGTTCCTGGAAGACCTTCATGGCAGAAGCTAGCAACCCTAAGAGAACATTTATGCTTTTCCCCTCTTTTTCCATGAGATAGGAACAAGATGACTTCCTTCTCCGGCAATGCGACCAGTCCTGATAGAACAGGTTCTCCCCATCTGAAATCTATAGTGTGGAAAGATAGCCTAGACCATGCAGTGATGAGAAGAGTGGATGACAAAGATGGCCTATCTCTTGTAACCTTAAAGTAATATATGGATGATCTTATGTAATCATCTGTAAACATCTTAATTGCATCCTGAATAAGCCCCACGGCGTGTGAAAACGGCTTCTCCAATAGCTCACATGCTCGTCAAATGGAATTCATCAATATAATACCATTGCCGAAGTAACCTTTTGGTAGAGGAGGAATGAATCTAGGCCTGCCATCAACTGCGAAGAGAAGCTTTGTTTGTTGGTGAGACAGCAAGTGCTTTAGTCCGAGCCCTCCACACGAATGCCAAAAGAGCTTCGAAATTAGTACATTTTTCAAGAACACCATCTTCCATAGCGTTTTTCTTTAGTTTTTCAATCTTCTCGGGCTCAAAACAGAAAGATCTATAGAGCATTTCATCTTTGTAGGGATCAACAGAGCTAGACTTGTGCTCTATCTCATCAAATTCTTGATGCAGGTGCTCTATTTTGGTGGGTTTCGAGCTTTCAGAACAGTTCTGTCCGAAAATGGTGGGATAATTAGCGGTAAACATCGGGCTACTTCGCCCCATGAGTTAACAAATTCCATTGCACCGATGCCATCAAACATGCAATGGTTCATGCACAGGCCCAGGACAAATCCTCCACATTGGAACTTGGTCACCTGTAAACAAAATTCAACATTCAGATATTCAAGTTGATAAACGCTTGTGCTTATCATGCAAAAAATCAAATTTTCGTGTATCAAAATTTATTCAATAGTGAAGTTCGAATTACCTGAGCCACTAGAGGTGGAATCTCTAGTATGTTTTTTTGCACCAGGAATGTCATAAACCAAATTCCCAAGAGTCAGAGGATCAGGCTCTCTTATGTTTCCAATCTCCTCCATCTTACAGTTTGCTTCAGCTTCAATAAAGACAGCCCCTTCGCCGGTGATTTCATGATTAGCTTACCCTCCTGATCGTTAGCCTCCTGGCAAGAGGATAATAATGAACAAGTACTTTGTGCGTCCTTGATTACTTTACCTGCATTTTCATTCCGGTTCTCGCTCGACTTAAAGCAATAGATGGTGCGAACAATCACCGAGATGTTTTGGTCAAATTTTGAAAGAAAGTAAAAGCCCTTTTCTGTCTCTTCAGCTGGACATACCAGTGCTGGCTCTCCTTGTTTCACACTAAGCTGAGATACATTCCCATTGGACTTCTCCATTATAGCTGAACATTCAATTACACCCTGATTCAATAATAAAATATGTGATGATCCATATAAATATATTATGACAAATCCATATTTAATACGTTTAAATTTAGAATTTAATGATTATGAGGAAACAAACCATGTGAAAAAGATGTTCTCAGAATAAACTGAAGAAAACGGCCGATGTGTCAGCGGAGGGAATTGCAGAAACCAAAACTTTATGCTAGTTAGATGTGAACTACAAATTTATAAGAAAAGTATTAAGACCTGGAGTCACAATGGTGGCTTTACTCGTTCAAAGGGAATGAAAATCATATGAAAGTGCAGGTGGCTATGTTTCATTGGAGTTAGCTCATGCAAAAACAAAAAAAAAAATTGAAACTAATGAATGGTATTGATAAAGGATTTATGTGTCAACAAAATTGTGTTTCTTAGACTGAAGATTTTGGATTTGGTCCATATGGGGTTGGGGTAGGCCACCGGTCGAGGGACCTAAAACACCAGACAATGGAGTCTTCGGCTCTGGCGTGTCCAAGGAGAGCCTGACTGGGTTTTGGTTGGTGGGGGTTGGCATTCCCACTATGTTTAAGGATTGATCGAGGGGAATAGGCAAAGGCAGTCATCTTCTGAAAAATTTTAATAATTGTATATTTTAGATATTTTTGTATTTTTATTGATAATATGTTTTTATCACTCTTTGAATTTTTCAAGTATGCCTTCCCTAAAATTTTAAAAATTTGTCACTGCTAACATAAAATCTTGTGTCCGCTCAATTATACTACGTTGGTTTATCTCCTGTTCTTTTGTTATCATTTTCCCACTCTACTATGTTTTCTTTTTCTTAAGAAACTTGTCTCTGTGTTTTCTGCAGAAATTTGCATCAACTTAAATCATTTGCAGATTTGGGAAACCTCCAAAGGTAATGGGACAACTGTTTTTTTCCTATTAAGGTGAAACATTTTGCAAGATAAAAGAAAGTAATCAACCATTTCTCGGGATGTTGCAATCAATAATGCTTAGAGAAAAAGAAAAAGAATGAATTAGATCAACAAAAAGGCCTAAACTTTGAACAATGGCCGAAAATCATATTAAAAGGAAAAGGTATGCTTTACGTGTGATATTCATTTATTTTAAAAAAGTACGCACAATACAGTACAGATCAGAGGCTCACGCCTCACTGAAAAGAAGAACAAAAACACCATGACCGTAACAATTTCTATTAGTACATATCAAAACCAAAATCTGTGGTCTGGTAAAACTATACATAGCTTCTACATAAGAGAATCACTTGAGAGGCTGCTGGTCCGATAGGCGAATGGATGGCAGGATGAGTAGTTTAACCAAGTCGGCTGATATGAGACAGCTTACCTCGGGCACCTTGTATGTGGTTTTCTAGGCTAATGAATGGAATCACAGGGTGAACAACACTGAACATCCGATCAGAATTGAAAACTGTTGCTGAAACCTGTCACGCCGGGCCACACTTGCTTAGGCAGCTAATTCCCTCTTCCAAATAATCTTCCTTGTTGATCCAAAACTCGGGTGCATCCTGCAAGACTTAAACATTCTTCGATGAATTCTAAGCTGTCATCAGATAGTATACTATGTTGCACGGATACGGATACGGGGACGGGAAACGGCAATTTTGAAAATTACAAGGTACGGGGACGACAAGGGTACGTCATATAAAATAATTTTAAAATTATAAATATATATAAAAAAATCATAAATAATGTGCCATATTTATACTAAATTAACCTGTTTACATAAAAAAATTAAATGAGTTTAAATATCATGCATCAATTGAATGTAATTAAAAACAAAACATGTAAATATAAAAGGCGAAAAGATATGTGAATATAAGTTACATATAAACTACTATTAAATAACTCATGTAAAATTTATTTTATATAATTTATGTATTAAATAATAATGTCTAATATTATGGGACTTAAATGCTAACGGGAAACACATATAAAGCCACGTGAATCTATGTATAATATGTCTAACATTAGACTTTGTAAAGATTGTATCTCTGAAGTTGAAATACATATAACCATGCGTGTTCTGAAGGCCATTTTTTTATCTATGACGCACTCACAGTACTTTTAATGAGTAGTCGTGTAACCTTGAAGTTATACAAGACATTGCATCAAAAGTTACAAAAAATAGAATCTGGATAGTTACAATACATACACAAGTATTTATAATTATATATATGCTCCATCGTTCAGTTCTTTAATACGCAATAGTGTGGTGAGCAACCCTTTTTCAGGCTCGTGAATCGTGAATATTTATAAATTTTATCCGTAACTTTATACCTTCAGAACACGCATGCTGTTAAAGTGAAAACGAAACAGAGAATATTTATAAATTCTATCCGTTGCTTTATACCTCCAATTAGGTTATGCTTTTCTTGTTTTTTTTATTGTAAAATGACGAAAATATCCTGGGGACGCATGTGAAAGTCACATGTCGTCCCCGAAACGTCCCCAAGACTCGGTGAAACGTCCCTGGCATCGCTCAGCCGTGCCCTGCCACCGTGACACGTCCCCGGTACGTACCCCAACCGTCCCCGTGTCGTCCCCGTACCGGGGACGTATCGGGTACGTGAAACGGCACAAGTTTGCCGTCCCCGTGCTTCCTTGATAGTATATGCTATTCATGCTCAAACCAAGCTTTTGAAACATAGTTTTCTTTCTTTTGGCTGCACAAATGAGAATGAGTTTATACATGTGCATATCTAGGAAAGAGAGAGAAGTGAACCTTCATAATCCCGGCAAGTACAGCACCACCAAGATACACCATATGCTTTCTTCGTGGAGGATCCTCAATCCTCAGTCGCAGTTTCTATTTAGAAGCATGAGAAAACAATTTAAAGATGAGCATCAAAATTTGTTT